GCTTTGTTTCTTTTGCTAAGGATCGTTTTGGCTATTTGTGGTCATTTATGTTTCCATATGAATTTCTGTATTGTCATTTTCAGGTCTGAGAAGAATGGGTATTGACTCTGTAGATTGCCTTTGGTAGGATGGACATTTTAGTAATGTTGAGTCCACGAGCATGGGATATTTTTCATTTGTTTGTGTCTTCTTGGATTTCTTTGAGCGGTGTTTTGTGGTTCTCATTGTAAAGGTCTTTTGTTTCTCTGGTTAGGAAGATGCTGAGGTATTTCTTTTTCTTTTTTTTTTTTGGTGGCTATTTTGAATGGGATTCTGCTTTTTATTTGGGTTTCTGCCTGCTTGTTGTTGGTGTATAGGAATGCAACTGTCTTTTGCACATTTATTTTGTACCCTAAGACTGCCAAAGTCCTTTATCAGTGCAAGCAGGTTTTTGACAGATTCTCTTAGATTTTCAAGGTATAGGATCATATCATCAGCAAAGAGGGATAACTTGACTTCCTCTTTTCCTATTTGGATACCCCTGATTTCCTTCTCTTGTCTAATTGCCCAAGCTAGAACTTCCAACACAATGTTGAACTTTTTGTTTTTTTAAGACAGGGTCTCACTTCCTCCCAGGTTGGAGTACAGTGGCATGCTCCTGTCTCACTGTAGCCTTGACCTCCTGGGCTCAATCAGTCCTTCTGCCTCAGCCCCCCCAAGTAGCTGGGACTACAGATGCATACCACCATGGCTGGCTAATATTTGTCTCAAATTTTTTTAAAATGAGGAATGTTTTCCAGTTTTCCAGACTTCTTTCATGTCTGACTTAAAAGATAGGGTCTCAGGGACTCCCAGGGGTCCCCTGAAAATGCTTTAATTACCATTGATCTAGTCTAAAAGGGACAATGTAGTGGAGTTTGGACACAGGAATAGGGACTGGGGGAAATTCCATGTATCTTGCTCTCTATAAAAAGGTTTACCCATTGCTATTTATTATTTGTAGGTTAAAAGAAATTCTTCATGAAGAAGAAAGATCTCAAGCAACATGATGGATTCAGAAGCTCATGAAAAGAGGCCACCCATCCTAACATCTTCAAAACAAGATATATCACCTCACATTACAAATGTCGGTGAGATGAAGCATTACTTGTGTGGCTGCTGTGCAGCTTTCAACAACGTGGCCATCACATTTCCCATCCAGAAGGTTCTCTTCCGGCAGCAGCTGTATGGCATCAAGACTCGGGACGCAGTGCTGCAGTTGAGGAGGGACGGATTTCGAAACTTGTACCGTGGAATCCTTCCGCCACTGATGCAGAAGACGACGACACTGGCACTGATGTTTGGTCTCTATGAAGATCTGTCCTGCCTGCTCCGCAAGCATGTTAGTGCTCCCGAGTTTGCAACCCGCGGCGTGGCGGCAGTGCTTGCGGGGACCACAGAAGCAGTTTTCACTCCACTGGAAAGAGTTCAGACATTGCTTCAAGACCACAAGCATCATGACAAATTTACAAACACTTACCAGGCTTTCAAGGCACTGAGATGCCATGGAATTGGAGAGTATTATCGAGGCTTGGTGCCCATCCTTTTCCGTAATGGACTCAGCAATGTCTTTTTTTTCGGCCTTCGGGGTCCCATTAAAGAGCACCTGCCTACTGCAACAACTCACAGTGCTCATTTGGTCAATGATTTTATCTGTGGTGGTCTGTTGGGTGCCATGTTGGGATTCTTGTTTTTTCCAATTAATGTTGTCAAGGCTCGCATACAGTCTCAGATTGGTGGAGAATTTCAGTCTTTCCCCAAGGTTTTCCAAAAAATCTGGCTAGAACGGGACCGGAAACTGACAAATCTTTTCAGAGGGGCCCATCTGAATTACCACCGGTCCCTCATCTCTTGGGGCATAATCAATGCAACTTACGAGTTCTTGTTAAAGGTTATATGAAAAAATGATCAGTTAAGTGCCATTTATCAACTGAGTAGACCTTCTAAGAAGAATGCAGTTTGGCCTCCTTCCTAATTGGCCAAATACAAGTTGGTGTCAAAACTCCAGGCCACAGTGAGGTATGGGCAAAGCTGTTTTTCTTAAGCATCAACAAAAACAAAAGGTTTCAGTGGGAAATTTTAAGTTTTTATTTTTATTTTTTTTAATCATTGTCGAAGAGCTTTGGGCTAATGACCTGGTAAATAGCTGTCCATGTAATGGCCTTTGATAAGATGCCTAATAGCCAAGATATTCTTTTTCTCAAACCAGGCTTTAAACCTTCTATATTGAAACGGAAGTGGCCATGACCAGCCAGAAAAAAAGGCCCTTACGGTGCTGGGACTCCTCAGGCTTATTTTGTTACTCTATTTCTTGCTTCTTTCCTCTCAGGAGCAGTTGCAAAGGATAGTCCTATTAAACTCAAGCACATGACAAAGGCGCGGAACAGAGAAGAAAAACAGCTTGTTCGGTATAGGCTTTTCGTTTGTTTTGTTTTGTTTTGTTTTTTGAGTTGGAGTCTCACTCTGTCACCCAGACTGGAGTGCAGTGGCCACTCCTGGCCACCGCAGCCTTGACCTGCTGGACTCCGGGGATCCTTCCACCTCAGCCTTCCAAGTAGCTGGAACTACAGGTGCATGCTACCACGCCCGGCTAGTTTTTTGATTTATTGTAGAGATGAGGTCTCACCAAGTTGCCCAGGCGGGTCTCAAACCTGCGGGCTCAGGCAATCCATTCACCTTAGCCTCCCAAAGGCATGGGATTACAGGCTGAGCCACCGAGCCCAGCTTAGGTATAGGCTTTTCATGAGCTATTGCGTGTATTACTTTTGAGACTAGGCACCTATTACATAGCCATCTGTAATGCTTTTTAGAATTATACATGGCATAGTAAAGCAGCTAAGGAAAGTTCCTGCTTTGCTTTCCAGGTCTGAAGGTTTTGTTTAATTCTGAATGTGACCTTCAACCCTTCCAAAATATTTGTATGTTAATTTCATTTATTTCATTGCCAGAAGATGGAGGAACTGAAATTTTGTCAATGGTGCTTCATCCTATTAAGAAGTTTCATAGTAATTAACTGCATATAAATCAAACTCTGTTTAGCTTGGTTGCTTTGATTATTGGTGCCAACTTAGCAACGGGCTTTGGGTTTTTTTCCCTTTGAGTAGTAGCTTGTCATATTTAAGCATCTTGTTCTCTTAAACATCCTATTCCCCTTTTAAAAAATGCACACTTGCATAAAATTTTATTTTGGAAGTCTATTAATGCAATCCCAGATTTTTTTTTCTGGTTTCTAAGAGAGGAAGGTTCAAAGGGTCAGGTAGCTTTCACCCCACAGTGTTTAGCTGTCTTTTGTTTCACTTTGAAATAGAGACTAGGATTTTGACATTTTGGGAGCCCAGTTTTACCATTATGTCATTAAAACAATAGATAATTTGAGAGCGTAAGATCTAAATCAACACACTTGACTTGAAAGGTTCTAGAAGTTGGTAATAGCCAGGTAGCATACTCATCCCCTACTTAATAGACAAAAACTTATTTATCAAAGCAATTGGAAAAGATTAAAATATCTTTCTAGAATTATAAAGCAAAATGAGTCATATGCCAATTGAGTGAGGAATAAAGTAGAAGAAATGACCTGGAAAAGTAGATTATGAATCTTTTTAAAGCTCCTCTCTGTAAATATGTGGCTAAGATCGATTTTCAGCATCTGACATGACAGGGTAGGTAGGTTTCTTGTTAACCAGTTTTTCATTGTTCTGGGTAATTGCATGTGCATATGTGCATATACTGACCAAAATAAAATCAGGGCCTCAACTGGTAGTTTACTCAAAATTTCTGGGCAGATAGTCCAAAACAGCTGTTTACCTCTGAAGGCAGTATGACTGGTTAAATCGGCGAACATCCTTCCTCCAGCTCTGAAGGATTAGGAAGCAGTTTCTGCGTTAACCAGGCAGTAATGAATCTAGGCAGCCACTCTGCAGCTCTGGCTGACAGTGTTGTGCTGGATATAGTAGTTTTGAGAGATCAAGTGCAGATGTGAGGATTTCAGAAAAAAGGAATTTGACACCAAATAAATGTGAGTGGCATCCTTTGGCCTGTCAGGTAAAGTCAGGATGCAGAGGTATTGAGTTCCAGAAGAAGGCAGCCCTGTACCTGGCCCCTCTTTCATGAGTGTGACCCTGAGCAATCACGGGCATGTCTAGCAACTCAGCACGGGGCCGGTGGCTTAACCTGGGCTATCCCCTGACCCTGAGAACAGACTCCATGGGGCCTTCAGGTCTGCTGGGATTGCTTTTGTCTTTACACTCCATGCAGATGGTAGAAATCTCAGTTCTAAAGCACTTTTGTGAAATACAAGTGAAGTGTGGATTCTAAGAATATGCTTTGGTTTCTGCTGTCTCAAATATTAATATGTGGCGTTTAAAATCAATTGTTAATAAATATTTTTAATGGTTTTAACTCGATTTTTTTTATTTCTTTGTCAGTTTTTACAGCTTTTGGAGACCAAACTGCAAATACATTACCAGGGATGGTTTTGTGTGGTCCTATTGACTTCTTAAATTTGACAAAAAAATTTCAACAGAACTTGTAATGACAGCTTTGTCTGAACTTTAAGTCAAAATGTGTTATTAATAAGAGATTCCAACTATTGTTTTTACCTTCAGTGTGAACTAGTGTGGTAGTAATTTTGAAAAGGCAAACATTGAATAAATCTGAGAAGCTTTAAAAGTGGTCTTGTTACGTCTGTGGCTCAAACGGCTCATGAGCATGAGACACTGGCAGTCTGTGCCCTGTGCTTCATGCCTGACATCACCAGATATGTTACAGATTCTGTTTTTTACACAGAGTGATATGAGCCCTCAGGACTCTACCACAGAGTAAACTCAACCTTCATATGGTGGCAAGTTTGTGTGTCTTACTTGTTTCATCTGTGACTGGGGACAAAGTTAATGTTCTTGTCTAGATATTCGATATTCATTTTAACATGGTTGGCTATATAATCACCTGCTGTCTATTGTGAACTGTGCAATAAAACAGAATCATGTATATATAGTTATCTTTGGATGCCCTAGCTGTGGAGATGTGAGGGGAATGCCGGTAGCGGACAGATACATGAAGTGGGATCTCAAGGGCTTGCTTCAAGGGGAGCCAATCATGTTGAACCAAGTAGGACTGCAGGGTGAGGGCTGCGTGTCATAAAATGAAAGGTGGACAGGAGATGTGTCATGTGAAGAAAGGATGAGCACTCAGACTTGGTTTATTTGTAAAAATTAAAATATTTCTGTTTCCTCGTATGCAAATAAATGCATATCAAAGACTTGAACGGGCATTCTAATTTTGAGAATTTTTGGTTTTTATTTATTTTCCTTTTTTATTTTTATTTTTTTAGTTGGCGTTTCACTCTGTTGCCCAGACTGGAGTGCAGTGGCACACTCCTGGCCACCGCAGCTTTGACCTGCTGGGCTCCGGCAATCCTTCCGCCTCAGCCTTCCAAGTAGCTGGAACTACAGGCGTGTGCCACCACGCCTGGCTAATTTTTGATCTATTGTAGAGATGAGGTCTTGTCAAGTTATCCGGGCGGGTCTCCAACCTGCGGGGTCAGGCAATTCACTCACCTCGGACTCCCAAAGCGAGGGATTACAGGCTGAGCCACCGAGCCCTTCCAGATTTTTGGTTTTTAATGCTGTCTTTTTGCTTCATATTAAATATTTGTTGCCCAATGACTTCCAAATCATGTGGGAGTCTCTACATGTTTCTTCAGAGTTTCATGATCAAAGTGGTTAAGCACACAAAGCTATCTCTTTGTTTGATATTTTGAGTTTTGTAATTACACGAGTTTAAGTGAAATCTGTAATATTTCCAAGCTGACATACTTTTTTGGTCGATTGTTTGGAATAAAGTTTCTTTTGGAAGCCCATCCTATTTAGTCTTCTCTTGTAGTTGGGCAGCTTCTCATTACTAGCACTCGCCTGTGCTGTAGCAGAGCACTCATCGGTCTTGACTGACAAAACATTTCACATGCTAGCTTGCCTTAGCAGCTGACTGACGTCTCTGCAGGTGAAACAGTCCTGCGTTTCTCCACCTTGTTTGGTCAAGAGGGGTTCCATATAAGTTGTATATCCTAGATAGCTTAATTGTAAAGCATTTTGCTTTTTAAAGGTTGTCCTCGAATGCAGTGAACTCCCCTACTGAGTATAAACGTTCTTGGTGAGTACAGCTTGCCAGACATTTCTGTTGTAGTAGTGTACCTTCAGATAATGCCCACCCCAGCTTAAATGGCATGGATGTTTGTGCTTTTAAAGCCCCTCTCTGTAAATATGTGGCTAAGATCGATTTTCAGCATCTGACATGACAGAGTAGGCATCGCTGTTCCTTTCTGTTGTAGCTAATTGGTTAGGAGAATGCTAACTACACTGTTGGTTTGCATGATACAGTTTAGGTGACTCATTGTCTCTATAGATACAAGGTTGCCTGCTAAGGGCCAGCTGGGTCAAGGAGCTGTTGCCGCATGCTTCTAACATTCAAGAGAATGTGATACCCTGAACTTGAAATTCAGACTTGATTGAAGGGGTGTCTGATCATCCCATCTGATGAAATGTCATCTTAAGCCGCCTGTAACCCCATTGTAGAGTTCCAGGCCTCCAGAGGGAGCGAGTGCGTGTGGCCAGATGGCCGGGTCTCCTTAGGTTGCAGGACACTCCCAGCCTCCCACAGGCCGGCTCCCGCCAGATCCGAGCTTTCATCCGAAGTTCTCAGGGAACTTTTTCCCCAAATGAATGTATCTGATTTCGAGGTAGAAATTGAGAGTAAAACAGGATTTATCTAAATTCCCATTTCCTTTCAAGCTCTTCTCCATATTGCTGTCAGTAATTTCATTTTTTATTTTTTGAGTCAGAGTCTCTGTGGCCCAGGCTGGAGTGCAGTGGCATGCTCAGCTGTTCTTTACTCAGAAATGTCTAGCCAATTTGAGATAAAACATATGAGCATGAGTCGGAATTCAAGTGTTCACGCGCTCTATTTCTCCTGCCCCTCTTGGTACTTTTTCTGAATTGTGGAATTCAGCTGAATGACTTTGAGAAGGGCAAGAAGAAAGTACTGTTTAAAATAATTAGTTTTGGCCAGGCGCAGTGGCTCATGCCTGTAACCCCAGCACTTTGGAAGGCTGAGGCCAGAGGATTACTTGGGCTCAGGAGTTCAAGACTAGCCTGGGCAACACAGTGAGACCTTGCCTCTACAAAAATAAAAAAATTAGCCAGGTATAGTGGCACACACACCTGTAGGCCCAGCTACTTGGGTGCTGATGCCGAAGGATCGCCTGAGTTTGAGGCTACAGTGAGCTGTGATTGTGCCACTGCGTTGCAGCCTGGGTGACAGATGAGACCCTGACTCAAAAAATTAAAAGTAATTCGTTTGTAACTGACCACTGCTTTGATACTGTTAGAAGCATCATGAAGGCAGTGACTTGTTGAGAAAACCACTTCTACAGCTGCTCTGCCTTATATCATCAACAGATATAAATTCAGTTCAGCTGCTCTTTATTAGTTAAGTAGTTACATGTTCCTGATGCAGAGTGCACCCAAAAAATGCATTTAGTTACAGTGAGATGCTATTTGTATCAGATGTTACGAAGAAAAACTCTTTGTCTTTCAAGGTTCATCATATCTGTTATACTAGGTGGTTTGTAATTAGTAGCTTTTTCATGTCCTTGGGCAAAAGAAGCTTCAAAATTTTCCTTAGCTCTCTCAGGCTTTTCCAGAAAAAGTGACAAAACATTTACAGGTTTTCTTGGGCTCCCTACTCCCCCCAAAATAACAGCAGTAGAGTTTTGAGAAAGACGGAGAGTAGGGGAAAGTGGGTACATACAGGAGCTGAGTGCCTTTCACTTGTAATCTTTGTGTAAAATATGGAGGTACAGAGTAAAAAAGTTGGGAGGTGAAGGCCTGATCCTGGAGACATGACAGGTATGCCTTGAGAAACCCGGGGGAAGCCCAAGATGAAAGACTTGCTGTTGCTATTTGGAGCTCTTGGAAGCATCTGTTACTTGTGATAAATAAAAAAACCCAAAAGCCAAAAACATGTGTTTGGGGATAATACCAAATATATTTGAGTTTATGCCAACTCGAATTAGAGGCACACAGAATCCCTAATAATTTCAATTAATGCCTTTTACAGTTTTTTCCTCGTTTATTTAGCATATGTGCCTTACATCTGCTAAGTACTGTAAAACTGCCCTTTTAGGATAAATCATTTTGAGATATGAGGTTCTAGACATGTAGAAAATACAGAGCACTGATTGCATCAACTGCTGGGCTCAGGTGATCCTTCCACCTCAGCCTTCCAAGTAGCCGGAACTACAGGCACGCACTACCATTCCCAGCTAATTTTTAAATTTATTGTAGAGACAAGGTCTCACCAAGTTGTCCAGGCTGGTCTCGAACCTACAGGCTTAGGCAATCCTCTCACCTCACCCTCCTAAATTGCTGGGATTACAGCCTTGAGCCACCGCACCCAGCAGATATTTATTTTAAACAGAATTATTGGGTACACTGCAAGGGAGACAGTGGGCAGGACAGCAATAAGGGTGATTCCTTAGGAATTTATTTTAGAAACCATTAGCAGGAATCCATAATGTATGATTCCATTTATATGAAGTGCTACAACTTCATATAGACTATAGTGGAAAAAAACGGTAGTTGCCTCTGGGAGGGTGGGGAAGAGGCTGACTGGGAGGGACAGGAGGGAACTTGCTGGGATGATGGTACTTCTCTGTATCTTGACAGGAGTTGGGTGACACAAGTGTATACATTTGTGTCAATTTAGCTAATGTACAATTCATATTTGTGTACTTCACTGTATGTAAAATTTTTTTTAAATTGTAGAGACAAGGTCTCGCCAAGTTGCCTGGGTGGGTCTTGAACCTGCGAGCTCTGGCAATCCACTCACCTCGGCCTCCCAGAGTGCTGGGATCAGACTGAGCCACTGAGCCCGGCATGTATGTAAACTTTACAACAAAATAAATAAATATTGGACTCTAATCAATGATATGTACGTTGAAGAATTTTAGAAGGATGAGTGGGTACAGATGTCAGTAATGTATTCAGAATGCATAAGCAATTAAGATGGATCCATGGATGGAGTATTTGGTAAGTGATAAAAACAAGCAAATGTTAATGGCCAAACCTTGGTAAATGATACAGTAAAATTCTTTTGACTTTGCTGTATGCATGAACATATTCATAATAAAATGTTGGGGGAATTATTAGGAGGCTTATCACTATTGCCAAATACTTGATTGAGAGGCTTTTTGTTTTTTTAGTATGCTAGTTACTGTTAGGCTTTTATGAAGTTACAGGATACCACTGAAATACTTGCTAGAAGGATATGCAAGCCTAGGAATTTACTTATCTTCCCCACTAATGATAACAATATGGCAGTTCCCCTACCCCTAGGCCCAGACTGTCCCCTGCAGACTGTGACAGGGCTGCTGACTAAAATAGAAGCTAATGTTTCAAACTTTTTTTTTTTTTTTTTTGAGTTGGAGTCTCACTCTGTCACCCAGACTGGAGTGCAGTGGCTGCTCCTGGCCACCGCAACCTCGACCTGCTGGGCTCCAGCGATCCTTCCGCCTCAGCCTTCCAAGTAGCCGGAATTACCGGCATGCGCTACCATGTCCGGCTGATTTTTTTTTAATTATTATTATTGTAGAAATGAGGACTCGCTGCCCAGGCGGGTCTTGAACCCACGGGCTCTGGCAATCCACTCACCTCAGCCTCCCAAAGGCGTGGGATTACAGGCTGAGCCACCGAGCCCGGCTAATATTTCAAACTTTTTTTTTTTGGAGAAAGCAGGATTTATTGAGAGGTCAGAAAAGATCCCACAGTGGGAGGGGAACTGAAGGGGTTGCCCCAAATGTATTCTTTCTTAAGGCTGCCCCAGAGGTGAGGAGTCTAACCCACCTCCTAGCGGGGACCAGGCTACCAAGAAAGTTGATATTTTCCTACAGTGCACTGCAGTTTTCAATAAATGCCAGGAAATTCTTCTTTTAATTACATACATTTATTCAGTATGCAAAAAAAAAACACTAGGTAGTAACTTTAAGAATAAATACAATGCATTCAGAACAGATCTGATACTGTTTTTAATTTTTATTTTTATTTGATTTATTTTTTTATTTTTATTTTTTTGGGTTGGAGTCTCACTCTGTTGCCCAGACTGCAGTGCAGTGGCCGCTCCCAGCCACCGCAGCCTTGACCTGCTGGGCTCCGGGATCCTTCTGCCTCAGCCTTCCAAGTAGCTGGAACTACAGGCGTGCGCTACCACGCC